AAATCAAGGACCTTAGATTTTTATATAGGCAGGAACCCAAAGTAAGTACTTCAGAGGGAGTAAGAGGATTGAGGCTATTAGAGCGCTGGAAAGAGTTGTTGGGTTTGAGCATATGTTTTATATGTAATAAGTAGAAGAGGAGGTTAGAATTGGTGAACTCAGATGCAAAACGTTACTATATGTAAATACAAAAGATGACCAGCTCATTTGCAACTGTTTCAGCACTATGGAAATTAGAAAAAAAACTATTTAATTTGAAATATCAGAAATAATTCTTTATCCAATTTTGATTCTCCATCCAAAATTTTGTGGTCCCTTTTTCTTCTGATTCTTCTGTGCAAATACTGGATTACTTTTATTTTTTGAAGCTCAGTAGAGGATTATTTAAACATAGTCAAATAATGCCAGATCCTGTAAGCCTTGCAGATATCTGAGAATCTGTAATAGGTAGCTGCCAGGAAGAGAGTACAAGCAACACTAAATCAAATGAATCACCAACTTCTCACAACAGTATAATCTTTTCTAAGTAGGCATACCTCCCATGCTCCATAGGATCTCGGCACTTACAGAGTCCCTATGACTCAGCTAATGTTAGGTTGGAGATTCAATCTGCTCATTCACCAAACACTGATAGCATCATTCCCTTGCCAAAGAGAGTGGGAGATGCCATCAATATATATAACCATAAAGTTTGCAAGAGGCTTCACTGCCACTTTTACAGGCACCGATTATATTATAATTTACAAAATTCATAGATATAGGCAAGTTTTTGTCTTAGCAATAGCTGGAGGCCAACATAGCAAAAATGTATGTGTAGAATAATTTAGTGTTTTGCTTTGCAGAATAAAAAAAATAATTTGGACCCTTAGTGTCAGGAAAGGAATTTTTAATTGCTGAACCTTTTAAAGTACAATTTACAGAAAATCCTATACTGATTTTAACTATAAAACCCTCCGCTTAATATTTGGGTTAATTAATTTTAGTTGACCCAATAATGGTCAGTGTCAGCTATCCATTAGGATTCCTTGCATATTTCTTTAAAATGTATGCAATGTACTGTATGCAATGTACTAGAAAGATGAACCTGAAGAGCAATGTACATGTTCATATAGATATCACTATATTTAAATGACTCAATAGAGATTTCAGGTACTGAGATCCCAGGACCAGGAGAATTTAGAAGGTGCAATAGATTGAAGACTTATTTTATTAAACATTTCCTTTGCCCATTTTTTCTCGCTTTTAAAATAAGCTTGTGTTGGATACATTGAAGGTTCACCCTTGCTGGAATACTGTGTTCCATAAATTATGTCAGTGGAGGGAGAAAAGAGTGAGAGAAGAGAACCCAGATCCCATTTAGTGTATAATCCCAGCATGCATTGTATAGATGATAGTATATCTTGAGTATTCTGGGGCAGGACTAGGATACATTCATTTCCCAAGTCTTATTCTTCTATATCCTTTGCCAAAGTGATAAAACTCTTAAAAAGAATCTTTTGTCTAGAAATAGCATGAAAGTTACTCCAAGCTCTTTATATTGCTGTCTTCACTGAAATGGCTATTCAATTGTGAGCATCAGTCATGAACGTGCAGTTTAGTTTTCCTGGATAATATGGCTTAATTTCTGCACTGGAAACATCTTAAGCCTTCTTTTCTTTGCAAAATACATTATGTGTGACATTACAAGATAATGTTAATGTCAAACACTTAACCTGCTCCCACGCACAATGCTGTTAGATTTTCCATTATTAAAACTGTGTCACTTGTGAAGCCAGCTATATATATACTACATGTCAGTTAATTATCAGGGGAAAAATCTATATCACATATATCTTTATAAAGCACATTTGGTTGCATCTTTTGTAACTTGTTGACATATGAGACCTTCATAAAAAGTGCTGGTCTCTTTAAACTTCCATATTTAGCTTGTGGTATATTAATTGTAAACAGATGATAACTATGATAATGTTAAGGTAATCATTTATTAAAGAACAGTACAGCTCTTTGAGCTCAATCTGAGAAGGCATTTATGTGTTAGTCCTATTAACTTCCTGCAGGTGGATAGGCTCATTGAAGTCATTGGAAGTATTCAAATACTTGAAGTTCAGCACATACTTAAGTGTTTTTTAAATGATGGTACAAATATTTGAGAGGTAGTCAGGAATGTCTCTGGCTTGCCATCTGGCAAACCATGAAGTACTGTTCTGCATGATAAAAAGTATCACAATCTCCAAATAAGGGGTTTGCCAAATCAATATAAGTTTTGAAAACTGTACTAATCTTTTGGATTCCTTAAATGCTTCTTTATGTGTAGACTGGGGTATTAATTTTCTCTGTGTAATCATTGTATTAATGCCAGACACATAGATAAATTTGGCAGCAGTTTGATGGAATGATTGATTGCACCAAATATGTTGCTTTATTAAGTTCCATACAAATTTGGTTTAAAAAAAGCTTACAAAAAACTTTTTCGCTCAGAGGAGATCTATAGCTGTCAGATTCTTCCTTTTGATTATTTATCCAGAAGGAGTGGTGTTTACACATGCAATTAGTGCACATAAATAAACTCCAGGGTTGAACCATCCAATCCTAGGCTAACACATGAATGTAAGATAGTATTTCTTTCTCTTGCCTATCAGTGCATTACCATTTCAGTCTACCTTCTCCATTCTTTGACTATCTGTAATCTCTCCAAATCACATCAGAACCCTTTGAATTGATTCAGAGAGATTCAGAACGATTCTGGGATTCAGACATAGACACAGTTTTAAATGTTTTTTCTGCACACCTCAAGGCACCAGGGGGATGGGTTTGTGAATGCTGCAATGCTGGGGTGCATGGAGCATCCCACAGAAGTGCAGGGGGCTCCCCAGTGTGCTCAGCAGCAGATGCAGAAGTGGACCAGAAGCATCTCCGGTTCACTTCCAGGTTCACTGCCGGGTTCACCAGGGAGTGCACACACCCCCCCCACACACACACACACCTCCTTGGCTCAGTGACTGGTGCCTCCTGGGTCTGGGGGAGGCACCCGGGGTCCTCCCACAGCTGATCACCAAGTGGGAGAGCATGGGGGGGGCAGTCCTGCATGTTCCCCGGTGGACCCAGAAGTGGACCAGAAGTACTTCCAGTCCACTTCTGGGTTCGCTTCTGAGCATGTGCCCCCCCCCACCATGCTCCTGTGGGATGCTCCATCCGTCCCAGCATCACAGCATCCTGGTACCTCAACATATGTAGAAAAAACATTTAAGGCTGTGTCTATGTCCGAAGCACTATTCTCTGAATCAGCGTCAAATCTTCAGATTTGGATTCAGCCAAATCGAATCAGGAACAGTGATCCGAATCAACCCTGATTCGGGCCAAATCTAGAATAGGGCCCATTTCATAGAGCCCTAATAACCACTTAACTCTTTGAAAACTCCCATTCCTTTCAGAATATATACCACAACTTTTGTTACATTTCCATTATGAGCCTGAGGGTTATCAAACAACCTTGAGACAGCCCACAACTAAGATTCCATTCACTGGATATTATTCTAAGTGTATGTAGGTTGAGGAGCTCCATTAATGGCACAGACAGAAGTGACAATTTTTGCCTGATCTGGCCCCAGGAAGCAATCTATAGCCATGACCAAACACCAGTCCATGGCTGCAGACAGCTTCAAAAATGGTTGATGTGGTGAAAATTGCATGAGGGGTCAGATAAAGACATTTCAAAACAGAGCTTCTTCTTTTACCTATGCCTGGACTGCCTCCAAGCCTGTCATTCAGAATAGGGAGGAGGAAAGGGAGAGGAGGAAGTTTGGTCTGGGAGGTATTCAGCCACTGCCGGAGGCTGGGACAGGTGTATTGGAGCCCCCCAAAATGGGGGTGGGGCTTTGATTCACCCACACCATCCTCCAACACTGGCTGGGGAACCCCTAAAATGAGCTCCCTCTGCTCCCTTTCCCCCCTCCCATTCTGAAAACTTTGCAGTCTCCCAGGCAGGAGGGGCCATTCCCAGGGGAGGTGGCTGCAGGCTGGCAGCCAGCAGCTAGATTCCTCTCTCCCCCGGAACCAGCAATGAACTCCTGTTTGTTCCCGGGGATTGTTGTAATTCCGGACGCTTCCTACAAATGTTCTCAGTTAAAACTGGGAGCTACACTTCTGTCTGCACCCTAAGTGCAAAGAGGACATCACGATTACATAAGGATTCAATAGCATCCTTATAGGAGGCTAGAATTCACAAGATGGAGAGAGCTTCTTTGTGGAGAGAAGCATATGCTAGATCTTTTCAAAAGATAAGCATGCTTCCTCAGAAAGCTGGAAGGCAGCTTCTAATTTGCCTTCAGATTCTGCCATGCACGTTAAAACTCCTTCATCCCTCCATCACAAAGGTGCTTGCACTTCTATGTGTGTTTCTTTTCTACATTATCTAATGGTATATCAGGCTATAACATTTAAAAAAAATCAATATGGAATCCAGAGGGACAGCATTCAAGAAATCCGAACACTTAAAAGCTCCTTAGCTTAATTGAGTGTTTATCAGAGTGATTAAAAATTCTTGAGAGTTCTCTTATAGAAAAACCTTGAGGTACTCATTAAAATTAATGGAAATAGTTTGTTTATCCACCAGAAAAGAAAAACAAACAAGAACATTCTCAAGTCTCCGGCTAATGTACAAGAGGTGAGACTATATGATGCAACTGTGACAGGTGCTGTGGAATTATGGCTATTCAAAAGTAGTTGTAATTTATACATAAAAGTTTCATGCATCTTTGTGGACTTTGGTAGTGATTGAATTTTCAGGTAAATAGCTATGATAAGTATTTAAGAGAAATGGGCAAATCCCCTGTATAAAAACCATGAAGTTAATCATGAACTTAACAAGTCTCTACAAGTTTTGCCTACTTCCCTAAAGCTAACATAGGAAACAAGCACAAAGATTCATTTGATCTGGTTCATGAAGCCTTAAAAAACCAAACAAATTGAAACTCTGTTAAATTACAACCCTGATCTGAAAGAGGTAGGACACTATTGAAGAAGCAACAGTAATCAGACTGAGCCTAACACAGATTTGTCCTGTGAGAGTATTTTTGACCTGTCCAGGATCCCAACTGGGAGAACGCTGACCACCAGGAAAGGTAGGGAGACAGGTAAATTATTTATTGTTTTAAGCTATATTTTCTTTTAAATCTCTTTGTTCTGAATAAAGAATTCTTTGTTTTCTGAGTGCTTCATGGTAACTGGTATCCTTGTCATTACCTCATAATGTTTAGAACTACAACTAATGTTGTGGAATAAGGCAATCACAATGAATTGTGGGGACTTTCAGCTTAATGCCTTGACCTAAAGGGAGTGAATGTGAGAATTGCACCACCGAAAATGGATTGAGGAAGCTTAGCATCACCAACCTTTTTCAAGTCAGTACCTTGACTTGTGGCTGTGTTTTTGGGAATGCTGAATTCCCTGTATTTGGTTCCTAGGATAAAAATAGGAAGACAGTTATTCTATAATCTTTTTTTAAAAATCAACACAGACTAATGTAATGATGAAGATGTTGAAATGAAGATGTAACGTAAGTGCCAAATCCTCAGCTGAATCAGTGAATTCCATCCATCTCAGTAGAATGGACCCTTTCACTTTGGCTGTAGATGCGGACCATACATATGAAAACATATTTTATTTGTTTTTAAAGTAATGATAAGTATTATGTTCCAGGGTTTAGCTAGTAATTGAATACTATCAAAATATAGCAAGGTCCCTACTTTTGCATTAAAGAAAATGAATGTCTTTAATTTTGATAATTATACAGATGATAAACAGCATTTTCTCCATGGTTAAAAGCAAAACTAAGTTGTTGATCATATTCTTCAAATAAGTGATGGCTAGAGAATGGTATTTAGAAATTTACTTCTAGAAAGTGGCTTGTAGGAAGAATAACTGTTGTGTCAGAACAGTGGCCTGGGGAAAACAGCAAGGAAATCCACGTTCTCAGCATTTTATCATCCAGGGGTCTAAGATAAACATACAAGCAGGCACATACAACCCGGGAAATTGGAAATATGCAGCAGTAAAACAACCACAATGTCCCCATAAGACCCAAAAATGGGATCCCTGATCTTGGGGGAGTGGTCAAATTAGGAAACTGGGAATGACCCAACCTACGTGGCTGCCGACATCCTTGTTGGGCAACCCAAGAGATTAATTCAAGCAAGAATTGCAAGGCAGCATTCACATACTGGCCAGATGTACCATTTCCTTGAAAAATTCCAGGACTGGTAAATAATTTGGACTGTGTAGGTATTTTGCTGACTTTACTCACACAAATCTTATTTGCTATCACTGTTTGTCAATAAAATTCTCTTATTATGGAGCAAAGGTTTTGGGGTTGGTTTCAAAGATGGTGTGGTTGGTTTCACTCAAAAAGTTTGTGTCTGCCTGTCTCAATGTGTTGGAACTGGTTTGTAAAGCCAAAAATAACAATAAAGAGATATTATTTACATAATAAATATGCCACTCAATAATGAATGACAAGAAATATTCAAATGAGAGAAAAATATATGCTCTCAGGATTTAAAAATTCAGCCTACAAAGAAAAAACAAATGCCATTTCTATTTCAGGGAATCAAACCACTCAAGATACAGTTTATATGCTTCTTCCCTTTTGATATTGTGGATTGCCAGACTACTAAGCAAAAACATGGTTATTTAGACAGTGTAAATGGTTATACATATACTGTACATTTTTTTTACCCTGTAGTCAAGTGGTGGCTGAAGTATGTGTAAGCTTGCTTAAGCTAGGTCAAGAACTAATAACGGTGTAGTTGAGGCAGCCTGGAACTCAACATGGTCTGTAAAATACTTTTATTGTGAACCTGGTCTGACTTTTTGGTTGTCACAGATACACTGTTACCACTACATTGGCTAATGGGTTTAAAGCTAGTGTAGGTCTTTCTGTGCAAGCTGCAATTGCATTTTTGATTGTGATGTAGACATTCTACCTAAAGCAAAATACTGTCTTCCAGATTTTTCAGAATAGTTTTTGCATTGATAACTTGAAAGATAATAGTCTTTCAGTTATTACAAACTTCACAGTTAAGAAGACAAAGTAGGTTTTGAGGGGAGGTGATGAGAGAGAGAGGAAGGGGTTAGTTTTTGGCTTTTACCTGGCCAACTAAACTTTCATACTGACTTGGTATGGCTGATGTATCATTCTCTTTCATGTTTTCATATAGCAGACTCCCAAGGGTTAAAATGTAATGGTAAAGATTTTTAATGTAGCAGTCTAAGATATGATTATAGTTGGCATGTATCAGTATTAGACAGAATGTTATTACTTATCCCCAGCTGAGCTGTCGTCATGTTATTCTGACATCTAAATCTAAGTGGAACGTTTTAAATAGACAGCAATTTGCTAAATCTCAAAACAGAGATGATAACAGTCTCTCAAGGAACTGTACAGAGAAAAAAATATTCAAAATTGGCTTATAGTGTTTATAATGTACTAGACTGTCTGGGTTCAAGGGTACTTTTTGAAGGAGCAATGTAATTATTACCAGCATTGATGAAACTGATAACAAGGCTGATTCTAGAATGATAGCTGAGGACAAAGGAAATTTGACTGTCATTTGAATAATTGGATTGAGATGTACAAAACAGGAAACCAACAATTGAGAAAGAAAGGAATAATTCCAGATTACAAGTTGTGGGTTTGGAGATTTTCATTAGTCAGAATGGAAAAGAAAGAATCAAAGGTTTAAAAGGTTAATTATTATAAAAATGCATTTAATGGACTAAAAGACAAATGGAACAGAGGGAAAATTATTAGATAAAATATTAACTTTACAAAATGATTTTACAATGGCTAGATTGTTTGAGTTACCTATTAAAATGCCAGTTAATGTATTTCTTAGGATTTTCATATGAGAATAACCTTATTAAAGCTGGGATGTATAATGGATTCTTAAAAAATATGGACAGCAGGATTACTTGAGAATTATAATATAAATGCAGAAATAAGAAGTAGAAAATACAGTGCTACAAAAATAGGAACATCCATATTTCCAAGACACATTTACATAAAAAAATTAATTTTCACAATCTGAAAATATCATTGCACCATAAATATCTGGAATGATTACCTACTGATTTCAGCAATGCTGATATGGGCCATGTCCACATGGACGTTTGGTTCCCGAGGGACAACTAGCAATGGTGCATTTTATGCCAGTGCTAGTTGTCCCTGAGTAATCCCTGTGCCACATGCCCTCTGGATATCCAGAGGTCAACCCCCCACCCCGGCGCGCCGCTCAATTGCAGCACAGAGAACAACTGAACATACTGCATAGCCTCACTCATCTGGATGAGGCCATTTTGTGCCTGAGGAGTATTTGCTAAGAAGGGATTAACAGAAGGTTATTTTCACATCATTAATGCCAACAAGATCTAGTTGTATAACTTATATTCATAATGAGCAGTACTAACCATTAGGAGTGTGCGAAATGGGCTGTATTTGATTCAGAGTCAGCCCAAATTGGAGACAGTGATTCGATGCGTTGATTCGGATCACTGTTCCCAATTCAATTTGGCCGAATCCAGATCTAAAGATTCGATGTTGATTCAGAGAATCGGCGATTTGGCCATAGACACAGCTTTAAATGTTTATTTTACATACCTTGAGGTACCAGGCACAGCTCATGAACGCTGTGAGGCTGGGGCTGACAGAGTGTCTCAGCATTCACGTGCCGCCGGGTACCTTGAGGTACGTAGAAAAATCTTTTAAAGCTGTGTCTGTTGGAATCACCGAATCTTTCTGAATCTCTCTGAATCGATTTGGAGAGATTAAAGGGTCTCCTGATTTGATTCAGATTCAGAGATTCAGCCACCGAATCGGGCCAAATCTCCACTGAATTGAATCAGGGACCGAAGCTTCTCACATTCCTACTAACCATCAAGTTAGCTAATGCTTGAAGCCAAGCGGCACAAAAACAGGTCTGGAGGGAGATGGGTTGTATTTAGAAGTTATCCTGTGTCCACTAGCATCATTGACAAATTTTCTGTTGACTTCAGTGGTTGCAGAACTATGTTATTTTAAACAAATAATCCCATTAATAGATAAGCCGTTACTAGGTATAAGGGTGCCAGAATTAAGTCCTTTGGGCTCAGGAGTAGACCCAGTTTGTGGGTTGTGTATACCCTGGGTGATGATACTGTGAGTTGCACTGTTTTAGCTCCATTGCCTTTATTTTAACTACACCAATATACATTAATCTTTGATCTGGACCAGTGAAAATAAATCAGCTTGGAAAGCTGAAGAGCTAAAATCACATTATTGTCATGACTCTTTGATGCCTGGGAAACAGGGTATATCATTGTAATTGATATTAGATATGTTTTATATATTATAAATTTAAAACAGGTAAGAACAGTAAGGGATTAGAGCAATGAAAGTAATAAAACAATGTTTCCTAAATTTAATATGCTGTATGTTTGAAATGTCATCTGAATTCCCTATAGATTCCTAGTTTTCATTGCTAACAAGGAGTAGTACGTGTAGTGTATGTAAACTGAACTTGAATAAAATATTTTGATTTATTAAATAATATTGTGATCTTGCAGCAGCAAACAATGAGATAGATACTGCAGTGAACTTGGGATCATGGAGGGACAAAACAGTAGGGCAGAGTCCAGGGATAGTTTGTAATGCTTCATAATGGAGTGTTCGATTTGCTTTCTCTGCCCCACAAAAGGGTTCCTAAAAGGCTGTAGATGAGACAGATCTCATAGTTTTCATTATTCTCTGATACTACTACTATTTTCCTCCAGGAAACCCTGCTATTATACTCTAGATATTGGTTGGTGGAGAGAGGTTGGACTGTATTTGCGAGTACCCTCCCTAATCACATTTGGATAGTGAGATGGATTGAGAAGGATGGTACTTATGGCACCTTCCTAATTCCTGGAAATTTATAAATGAAAGACAGTGAAAAGAATAAAATAGGGAAAGGCCATTTCAATGGGTGGAGGGGGACCTCCTAATAGAAACCAGACACAGAATTCTGTTCTTTAGAGAATGTTTCTTATCATTGAAATGTTCGAAGAAGTGTACGTGTTGCAAAACCACTGATTTTAACGCTCACTGTTAAATACTGACCAGTAAATCTTGTTCTATTTTACTCATAAAAAATAAATACAAGTAACACTCTGAGTAAAATCATTAGGGGGAATTGCTATGTTAACTGGTACTGTCAAACAGGCTCTGGAGGATTTTTCAGTTCCAGTACAAAAATTTCAGAACTCAGAACTCAGTTTTGTGGCCTTCACACTGCCTTTTGTAAAGGCAGACCTGATAACATGGTCGTATGGTTTGTTCTGAATGTATCACATTCTTTGACACACAGCTGGCCTGGTTTTATCTTATTAACGTGAATGACAAATGGACCAATACAATTGTGCACTGCAGGCAGTGTCCATGTACAACCTGCCACTTTCAGAATTGCTTATCTTCCATCAATCAAAGAATGATCGAGATGCAAACCTTGACACTTTAGAATTGTGACAGCATATGCAAGATAAATGGAAAACTTTTGCTCACAGCACAGGCAGCTTTCATCAATTTAAATGTCACATTAGTGTCTTTAATATTCACTGGTTCACAATGTCAGACTTCTCAGCTCTCTCTTGTGTGACCTCACTATATGCAAACTTGAAGACAGTCTCAAAGCTCAGATTACCATTCACTGAACTATCATTGAAGGCAATTTTTTCTGCCTTAACATAACTCAGACATTCATACAGAAGTTCACAATACTCCCAACACCTGCAGTTTAAAGCAAATCATCAGCTAATTAATCCAGTTATCTATGGGCCAAGATAAAGTCCTCAGAAAACTAAGAATTTTAGTTTTATGAGGGCTCTTATCTTTATCAGTAA